ACGGCCATTTTGAAACCACCGATCATCTGTTTAAAAAAGCAATGTTTTGTGAAGAATCAGTTCCCGAAGCAGGGAACTGATCATCACAAAGCGAAAAAAACCTATTTAGACCATCATTTTGCGATCACAATTGCGATCGCAAAAAGATCATCGTACAGCGATTTCATCATAATGTGGGGCAATCATTAAGCGAGGCGCCACTGTATCATAGATCATCGTACAGCGATTTCATCATAATGCGGGCAATCATTAAGCGAGGCAACACTGTATCATTTTTTAAAAAAAACTAGGCATACTTGGTCTTCAGGCCTGTAGATTATTGTAACAGAATAATAATAATAAGAGCACTGCAAGATGAGACCAAAGGCTTATACTTGGTTCCTGGAGTGGCCAATCAGATGCCCACAACAAATTCAGCCTCCCCAGTTGTGTCCCTCAATAATGTGATCTCAAGGGGTTGCACAACATCTGGATAATCTAGATCATTGGTGCCCTGTGTTTCTTATGTCCAGCGTCCTTTCTGTTCTCAATGGTTCCATGTCCAACCACTCTAATTCATAAAGCATCTAAAAATTCTAACTCTTTGCTGTGACCAAAGCTTGCATTTCTCCAATGTGAGGGGTGACTGAAGTCACTCATTAGTACAATCCTTTCTCATTTAAATGCCTCCTTGATTTCCTTCCCCAGTAATGTGCATGATTTCTAAATGGAAATATTCCTGGCTCTTTAATAAGGGTTTTTTCCCCCCAAGTCACTGTGCCTTCTTCTAAATGTGATCCCAAGCTGTAGCTATATGCCAGGAGAGGGTTCTCATTTAAATGCCTCCTTGATTTCCTTCTCCAGTAATGTGCATGATTTCTAATTGGAAATATTCCTGGCTCTTTAATAAGGTCCCCCCCCCCCAGTCACTGTGCCTTCTTCTAAATGTGAAATATACTGCCAGGAGAGGGGGGGGCAGTATATTTATACATTCCCAAGCACAGAGACTGGAAAAGTTACTTTTTTGGACTGTGACTCCCAAATCTCTCAGCAAGTGTGGCCACTGGATCTGCTGCCTGGGGATGTTCAATGAGTTATACTCTAAACCAGTAGTGCCCAAGCTTGGGTTACCCAGGTGTTCTTGGACTGCAACTTCCAGAAGCCTTCACCACTAGCTGTGCTGACTAGGGCTCCTGGGATTTGCAGTCCAAGAACACTTGGGTTACCCAGCGTTGAAGACCACTGCTTTAAACAATAACTTTGCTGAGCTGTGCCCAATCTTGCTATCAGTGTGCTAGTGGAGTGAGCACACTACTGTCAATATTGCACACAGCTGGGAGTCTAATAGTGGAAGGACGGAGGATGACTATTTTGTTTTTCAGAAGAATTTACTCAGGCTTCCAGCTCAAGGCATTTCACAAACCTCACCCATATTGCCAAGCCCAAAGCCCCTTGTCTCTGATTTAAGATGATATGAGACAAGGGGCTGGATCCAGACTTCATTGTATTTAGGGCAGCCCCACTGAATTTAATGAAACTTGTGTTAGGCATGATTAATGTCCATTCCATTGAATCTAATAGGTTTAGGTTATCGAAGTCTACTGTAGCCCAATATATGGAAGTGAAATCATCCATCCTGGGTTCTGATATGCTTGACTGAGACAGATATGGAAGCCTAGCTGAAATGCAGCTGAACAGGACCAAGGAGCAAACCAGGACACAACCTGACCCTTAACTACCTGGAAGAAAGTTATATCCAAAATACCCAAGAAAATGTTCAGCAATGGAACTTTTAATTTAGAAGATACACATAAATATTTTAACACATGAGGAAATGCTAGAGGCTAAAGTAGAGGAATCCAGTAGCATATATTGAAGCAGGTAAAGTATTTTGAGTGACCAAATTAATACGCTTCTTTATATTTAAATAAATTAAATTCTTTCCCACCTTCTCCAGTAAAGGCACTTTCCCAGATTTCCCCCCAGTTAAGGGCATTATCTTGTTCCTATAAACCAGCCCCTCAACAGGATCTCTCCAAATACGTTGGATTACATTTCCTACCACTCTAGCTAGCATGGCCAATGCATCTGGAGGGTGCCAGGTCAAGGAACACCACTTGTGATTATTTGCACCATTTTGATGTCCTCTGTTCCCTTTCTGAAAAAAGGCTAGCATGGCCAATGCATCTGGAGGGTGCCAGGTCAAGGAACACCATTTGTGATTATTTGCACCATTTTCCCTTGATGTCCCCTGTTCTCTTCCTGGAAAAAAAAAACTGGAGCGCTCCTTCTCTCTTCAAGTCTTCAAACAGCACATCATCCATGAAGCCTAGGACCTCATTCCTTTGACCGTGGGTAGCAAAAGCAACTCTCTATATGTTGTTGAACTGCTACTTCCTTTTACAAAGCAAGCATAGCAAAAGACAAGGAATACTGGAAGTGGTCATGCAACAACACTCCTTCAGACTGAATAGTCAGTCAAAGCAAAGGCCAATAATGTGTGAATTTATCTGCTGATGGCCACCACTTTTTACCTTTCCTTTCTTCCTGTCATGCTCAGGGTCACAAAATTCTGTTTTTATTATGATGATGATTGCAGTTTTGCTATTCAAGGCACCTTGTATGCTGATGGTGCCATCCTGCACAACGTCATTGCCTATACTGTACATTTGCTTGGAAATGACTTCCATGTATTTCACCTGGATACAATTTAATTATGCAGGCTACACAGCATACAAGGTGCCATATTCAAGGCACCTTGTATGCTGATGGTGCCATCTTGCACAACGTCATCGCCTATACTGTACATTTGCTTGGAAATAACTTCCATGTATTTCACCTGGAACTTACTTCTAGGTAGATGTGTTAAGGATTTATAAGGTTAGAAAATAAATGTCATTGAAGGACCATAGTTAGATTGTTAGACTGTGACTTGAGATATTGAAATCCAAGTCCCCACCAAACAAGGAAACTCATCAGGTGACTTTGAGCCAGTCACTTTGATATATTGCACAGGGTTGTCATAAAGCCTACTATACTACCTTGAACTCATTGAAGGAAAGACAAAATAGAAATGCAATGAATAAATAAATAAATATTGGTAATATACAAATTAAAACAATTCAGTGGTGCAAAGCACAGCTTGTTCAGGTTAATCAAACAATGCCGATATGGCATTGTTAATCAAACAGGTTAATCAAACAATGCCGATATGGCACAGTCCATTCCCATATAGGTACTGTACAACGGCAAGCACATATAGGAATCAGCAAGGGCTTCAAAAGGCACTCTTGTCTGCCTCCCCTCTGTTCCTCAGATCATGTGTAATTTGCAAACCGGGACACCAAGGAGATGGTGGAGCTCTGGAATCCAGGACATACTCCGTTTCTGCCATGGCCAATATGCTGTAGCGCACGTATTCTGAGGAGAGGTCACGGAGGAGAAAGGGCTTCATTTGGTTCCTTTCTCAGTCCTTTCCCCTGGATGCAGCTATACCCACAAACTGGTGCATCATTCTGTGTACTTCCAAGGATAATATTCTTTAAAGGCGATTAAATTTGGGAGGATTTCAGAGCCTAAAAATGTGCAGGCTTGCCATAAAAAATCCCAAAGAAATAATAATGAGTAAAACAATATTAATAAGAATGTGTGTGTGCGTGTGTTGCCTAGGATCACTTAAGTATTCATGCAAATCACTTACCAGAGAGAAAAGATTACATTTCTTTGCATATAAAATAATTAAATTGAATAATTGCTATAATAAATAGTTCATCATGTGTCTATATCACAGACTGCATCCACACGGAGCAACATCAACAACAGTTGTCTTGCTAACAGTTTAAATAAGGCTGTGGAATAAAAGCAAAGCTATGACTTGCAGAATCATTGAAAGTCTACCAGTGACCTTCAAATCAAGCCTTAGCTGGACTTGGAAATGCTGGTTAATGGAAGACCTTGGATGAGAAAATGTGCACTGTAATGTACGGTGCAGAGACAATAATCATCCCGAAAGATATTGGAATAACAAAGTCATAGAGCAGCCTTTTCCTTTGTGCATTTTGCTTGTAAATTACTTGTTTCATTCCTATGAGTACAGCAGCACGTCCATTAAAAAAAATCAGACACCAGCCAGTGCAGACCACAAGAAGACATTCTACTAATCAACTTTTTGCTGCAGCATTCTCTATATATCTTAAGCCGTGCAAGCTATCAAAGCCCTGTTTGACAGATCTATATACCAGTTTGAGTCCAGTCTGATTATTGTGGGTTTCTGCAACACAGCATGGGGCTATAGTAAGTCTCTTGAAAGAATAACATGCCAGAGAGCATTCATTTTTCACAGAATTACAGCCTGCAAGTTTCTTTAACTGTGAGTCATGATATTTTAAAGCGGCTTAAAACAGGTTTGCAGGGACAATATGGATGTCCTACTCCCATTGCCTTCCCGTAATAAAATCAATGTCTAGCTTTTCATTCTTCATATGTGGGGTAACTCTTCTCTCCACAGTCTCTGCAGAGATTATTCCAGATTTTTCACTTTGAAGTACTAAGAAGTTAGGAACAATGAGTAGTGAGTGGTGGATAGAAAAAAACAGCATCTCTGTGTTCAATTACTGGAAGTACAAAAGTCATAGCTATAGGCTTGAGACAACTCACAGTGCTGTCCCCTATTGATACTGAAACTCATCCACCAAATACAGCAGTACTTCAACCCATGACAAAATGTGTATGTTAGACAGGATATATTGATATGAAGTAACCATGCAAAAGGGAAAAATTATGTTGTTCAATTCATTGATCCAAACTGGGCTTCTTGCAATCATTTAAGCAGTAAGACTGTTAATGTGAAACTGGCATTTGACATGAAAATGTCAGTTCAGAGAGGAGACAAACAAAACTGAGGATCCCAAAGTACCCACACAATAAAGCCAGCCAGTTCAATCACCCTTTCATTACAAATTCCACAGTCATGTCTTTCTTTCCATTAAACAATCACAGAACAGTACAATTTTCCCTCTTACCTCCTAAGGCTTGTTTCATTACAAATTCCATGGTGATGGCTTTAAATTCCTTCTCACCAGATCACTTCTCACATGCAAGTCAAACGGAGACAAGTTCTTGAGTTGCAGCCTGCCCTGAATTCACAAAGCAAAAGATTAGCATCAGGGTGGCTGCATTTAGTATTCTTGCCCCAGCTCCATGTCTCACTGCATTAAAGCTACTTGTCCTTTAGGTTGAGCACCACCAAAATGCGCACATGAACACACATTCACACACCATTTTTTTCATATTGAAGCTGAAGGCAATTGCTCATATTGTAGACAGAATGCATCACAAATTGTTTAACATATTATAGTAATTAGTACTTTAGGTAGTAAGAAAAGGGGGGGGCAGCCATTGCCAATATACCATTATACTACACTGCTGAATTGATGGGCGTTTATTTCAGGAGTTACGGACATTTCGTTCTGAATCTGTGATAGAAAATCAAACAAAGTGGCAGAGCTCTGTCAAAAAATAAACAAATTACTGGCTGAACACTCATTTGCTATGAAAACAGATCTGCCAGCAGAGCTGTTCAATTCAATTTTCAAGGCACCTGTTTCCTTTTTTTAATGGCTCATCATAAAGAATTGTCTGGTCCCATGCAAGACACATTGGTTTAGCTGACATTTTCTAACTAAAGAGTTAAACATCTCCAACTTGGGTGATTCTTGACTGATCTGGAGAGAGGCTGCTTGGATGGAGTGAGAGTTCTAGCTATTAAGAGTGGAGGCAGCACGGGGGGCATTTGAAGGTTGAAGCACTTGAATTCTCAGCAGTAGGCTTCTCTGTCAGAATCTCTTAATGGCCAGCCTCGTGTCCGCATCATTGACCAAAAGAGCCACTCCAGTCAAATCGAGTTAAATACCAGACACATTATGAGAGAGAGAGAGAGGGAGATGGAGATTTAATGTAAGTTGGCTACTCAAGTGACATCAGTATTACATGTGCAAAGGAACTTAAAACTAGAATGTTTCTCCCACATATGTGTACATACAAATACCAATTTCATTAGGGGGGGAAAGTGAGAAGGTTCTATTGAGATTAGGCACAATGACTTGTGCTTCTGACACAGAACAAAACTGTGGCACAACATTTTATGCTGTGAATACAAAGCTGATGGTGTCAACTAGACAGCACAAGGTGTCCTTTTCCCCTTACAAACTGGGTTCACATGCAGGATTGTGCACACTATTTGGCGACTACCTGTCCACCTGCATGACACAATTTGAACTCCAGGAATGAATAGGAGTTATTACCATTTGACCCCTATGAACTAATGTCACCCCTCCCCAGGCACTCTCTGGGGTTGGCAGACACCTAGTTTTCATGACTCTGCAGAGAGAAGCAAACACAATCCAGATTCTTCCAAATGCTTTTTGAAATCAAACCACACACTTTGATTCAGTTTTAAAGAAAGGTGCAGAGGACCATTCTTTGGGGAAACACCAAGAAAAAGAAGCAGAGTGAAGGAGAAACAAGCTAAGCCGAAAAATGCCCTGCTGCATCTACTGGCAATTTTCCCTCTCCAAACTTCTGTGATCAAAGAAGTGATGTGCTCTCATGCTCCTGATGGGGAGGAATCAATGCATGCACCAAAAGAGAGACATGCTCCAAATTCCAATGAAGCTGCAGTGAGGCTCCACACACAAATGGAAGTGGGAGGACTTTTCCATGCATTACATTCTACATCCGGACATCAAGTTCCCTGCATGATTTTAAAAATAAAAAAATGAACCCCGGAATCCTTTCCCAAGTCATCAAGCTCTCAGAGGGACAGAACTTGCACAGCTGGCTGACTGGAAACCTCTCCAGAGCCAATGCTGAACGGGTTTTCAGCCAGCAGCGTGTGGATAAGCTTGTCCCATGTGGATCCTGCAGGAACACTTTGCCTTCTCGTTTAGACAACCGGATCGCAAGCTCTGCAACCGCAAAGTAGCACCGGCTCTGGTTTTGCTTTTCCCTTCCTCCCCCAGCATGTAGGACAGCTTACCACCTCACAGAGATCAGAGGA